TCCATATGACCACTGTGGAGGCTGCTGCCCCGAGGCGAGCTGACACTGTCTGTGTAGAAGGACCAGACGTTGATGTAGGGGCTGCTCAAATGCTGCTTGAATATCAAGACGGGCGTGCACGCAGCCGCACGTGCACGCGCTCACACAAACGTACAAAAGCAGCAGCGCCTGGCCAGTCGCTGAGACTGATGTTCCTTTCAGCCATCATAAGGCTGACACTCAAGGTTTTTTTTTGCCAACCCAGTGTCAGTTCCTGGCTGGTCTGGCCAACAGTGATGGAGACACTTTAACTGACTGCGGTCGGGGCCTTTGGCCGCAGGCTTGCTGTGGCTGTGTGAGTCGGTGGGGGCTGCTTGGCCTGTCAACTGGTTGTGACTAGAGCCTGTCTGGTCACAGATCCAATCTGGACAGCTCCCTCTTTCTCTGCGGCTATAGTGCCACCGTCATGTAGGAAGCCACGCGGTGTATATCTGCCACTCTGCTCCAGTACAGCATATGCTCCGGCTGAGGGTCAGAGATGTTCAGTCCAAAATGCCTGAAATAAACACCTCACATGTCTAACTGGCAGTCACAGCAGCACATCTGCACTAAGGGGAAACTACAGCCTGTGAATGTGCATGTGTAGATATATTTGCTGTTTTTTTTTTTATCTTGTGCAGGTCATATTAGCAAATAAATGGACACATTTTAGAAAATGAGTGAACGACAGATTGAAGGTACTTCATAAAGCCATATGTTATTCATAATAGAACACGCTACACATACTGAAACTGTGAAGCTGTACAATTTATTTAGAAAAAACAAGGTTATATGGAATGTTATGGCAGCAGCACCTCTCAGGTTTACCACTGAGAAGCATCCCCTCTTTTTTTAACAACTGTCTATAAATATCAAGGAACTGAGAGCAGTTGTTTGAATTTTTTGAGGGTCTGATTCAGGATTCTAGCTATTTAACAGACCTGGGTCTTTACCATATTTCTCTAAATGGGCAACCCATTCTCACTCCCAACTAGGAATGTGCGATATGGCAAAAAATTCATATCACGATATACATTATGTTGAGTGGCGGTAACGATATGTATCACGATATAAAACTTATAATAGAAAATAAATAAATCACATGTTAATTGAGTGGAATAAATATGTATAGGTAAAAAAATTAGACCTTAAAATCTCCTTTTCTAAGGGACACTTTTAAGTTTCCCATAAAAATCTAAATTTAAGGGAGATCTACCTGGTTAAATCAAATATCACACACACACACACACACACGCACGCACGCACGCACGCACGCACGCAAGCACGTACGCGCGTGACAAACACGGACTTTAAATGTGAAGTTTTATAACATCTACACTGGCGAGGTGGATGCGCCCTGCGCGTGTATCCAAAGCGTGACTTTTGCTGTCCTGCTGTTCTTGTCAGGGAGGGGTCTGTGGGTCAGGGAGGGGTCTGTGGGTCAGGGTCGTCTGAGGAGGAAGCAGATGAAGGGATTTGCGCATGGGAACTTTTATTTAAGTTTTAAGTTTTTTATTTATTTCAAAGGTCCTCATGGCTCAGCAGCAGCAGAAACATAAATATTACTGTTAAGAAAGCTGATGATAAAGTTGAATAAAAATCTAAGTCTGATGAAGTGAAATTAAATATCTGACAGTGATCTTGATGCAGTGTGGCTCTAATTCCTCACTTCATCATCTGTGTCGCAGTTTCACGTCTCCAAAATGAGCGTATGCATGGGTCAAAGCTGGCGTGAGGCACAGCACATTTTCACGTCAAGTTTGGATTTTATAAATCATAATCTTGGCGTAAAAAGTGGCGTACGCAAGTTTCTGGGCTCAAATTGTGCGTATGCCAGTTTTATAAATCYGACCCTARGTCCGGTTCGGTGTTTTTTCTTCCCCCTCCTCATTTGCGCTCTCAGCCACGCTGCTTCCCGCTTCCTCTGTTTTGACTCCAGCTGGTTACATCATCAAAAAGAACTGTGCGGTTGGCCGGTAGAATACAGATCTCTATCATAGGACAAATTTATATCGTTTCTACTATATATCGTTTATATCGCGCATTCCTACTCCCAACTCGTCGCATATTGACGCTTTTCCAAGGTTCCCTCTGTGTCTGGTTTTGACGCGTCGGGGTACCTCCCCTCGCGTCAGTTATTGACGGGATGGGGCAGAATCCGTTGTCATCATTTTTTAAATGGGAGCATATGTTGTTCTCAAACTTTATATACTTTTCTGCATTAATGATGCTGCCCAAGCTAGCGTCACTAATGCACCCCCCACACCATCGGAGAGGCCGGTTTTGACCTGTGCATTGATAATAGGCTGGATACGCTGCAAAACTGTCCATCTAACCAAGTCTTATTTTATATCTAGCCAAAAGGTATTTTGAGCTTGTTTTGAGACTGATATACCAAGCAAGAGCAGCATGTGTTAAATTATTAATCCTGGAATTTTTCCTTATTTCAAGATGTTTTACCAAGTGGAATTATGTGAAATAATCTGCCAGCACAGTAAGATAGTTGACTTGGTAAGACTTCATGAAATAAGGAAAGTTTCCAGGATTAATAATCTAACACATTATGTTCTTTCTTAGTGTTATCAGTCTAAAAAAAGATCAAAATACTTTTTAATTTTGGCTGAATATAAGATTGTAAGACTTGGACAATATTTGCAGTGTATTGTCTCTTGTCTTTAGTACAGAGGAAATGCCATCTTAACAGTTTGAACATGTGGCTTCTTTTTGCATGACAGAGCTTTACCCAGTATTTGTGGATGGCACAGTGAACCAGCCCATGTAGTGACGATCAGAGCAGAATCGTCTCTGAGGGGCCTAAAGATCTGATTTTAACTTTCAGCCTGTATAAATTTCTTGAAATCTTTTCATGTTATGAACTGTAGATGATGGGATATTTAGTTTTCCAAATTTCCTCATAGAGAAAACAATTATTCTGAAACAGTTTCTCTGCTGCTACAGTTTTTCCAAAATGGTGAAACTCTGCCCATCTTTACTTCGAAAAAAAATCTCTCTTTTAAATATTCTTCTTATATCCTGCAATCTTACTGACTTGTTGCTAAATAACATTGAAGAAATTATTGGGGTTTAGCTTTATAACTGATTTAAATCACATGCACATTGGATAGTCTTACGATAGAACTGTGATGATTGTTAATTGTGACTGTCTTGCTTAACTTGGTGATTTTATATTAATAGCTACATGCCTGAAAACAAATTCAACACATAACTGAACTTTTAAATTCTCATTAGGGTAGGGTTTTATGTCTGGGTGCATGGCTTCTAGTAAAAACAGGGACCCCCTCCCCACCCACTAATGATGTAATCAATAGGTGGAGCCATGCCACGGAGCCTTTGTTAAAAGCAATTGTACTTCCTTGTTTTCAGTCTGAACACAGTCACTGATTAAAACCAGTCTTCAGCAGACAGCACTCTTTGGTTTTGTATGGTTTCTCTTTAATAATCTTTTCGATGCATTTGTACATTCTCCGTATGGTTTAAGCACACGTCCTGGTAAACRAACACGCATGACAATATTTTCTTTCAGTATAGTTGCGAAATGCTTCTCCAGATATTTACACTTAAATGCTTTTTTTACCCCAACTTATTTTGAGATGTGTTGCTGCCATCCAGTTTTTAATGGTAGAGATTCGTAGTTTAAATCATGGATGTGTTTACAATGTTCATTGAAATTTAAATGAGTTTAAGAAAAATGCATTCTGTCTTTATTTTTCATGTTTTTTTTTTACAAAATGTCCCAACTTTATTTGAAGTGGATAAGGTAAGCTAAGGTTTGCAGTTCAGCTACTTTTAATGTTAGGAATAAATTAAGTCGATTCCTCCAGATATCTGCAGAGGAGAACTCCTGCTGTTTGTGTCTCAGTCACCAACTGCTAAGTTAGAACATGGTGGGGGGGGGGGGGGGGATTCAAACTGTGTCAACGCCGGATCAGGAAGACGTGGAGTGAAGAGGCAGACATGAAAGTTGGCCTATTTCATGGTCAGGCTGCGGAGACCGCCGAGGCCTTGAATGGCAACGCATCCACTTTAATGTGACAGACGAGTCCCCTAGGCAAAACCCGCGGAGCCGCGGCAGGGAAACGGGCCCAGGTGCTTGATGAGTGTGACACCTTCGCCCGTCCCGCTGCAGAAATGTTGCTGCCGCACGCTCTGCTGCCTCGCTTCGGAATAACACCAAATAAATTTAGCCTCTCATCCCGCCTGACGAGGCGTCCCCAGAACCTGTCCTCCCCAGCACTGTTGGGATCACGAATCTCCTTGTAGCCGCTCACGGAGGCTTCGCTCCGATCACTGAGCGCTTTGCCTTTGGGACCCACCTGCCGAGGAAAACTGTGGCCGCGCCGGTGGGCGGCTGCGACAGGAGTCGGCAGCAGACACATCCTCTCATCACGACGCTGTTTTGCCCAATCAGGCGCAGACAGGCGAGTGTGTGTGGCAGCTTCAGAGAGAGCGCCTGAAGGCATCGCGCCGCCTTCCCACATGCACTCACAAATCAAGCAGGCTACATCTCTCCCCGACGTCTCCTGCACGCACAGGTAGTGCTGCATGAGCACTTGACCTTACCTAGTGTTATTACTGTGGGCTGCAAAGCGCGGCGTTAAGCGCAACCTTTCTTCTATATTGGCCTATTAGGAGCCACAGGGCGCTCTGATGGAGTGAGCCCGCCTATGCATGTGTGCGCTTAAGCATGCGGGTGAGCATGAGCTGATCTATTGCAGTCCTGGGATACGAAAGGCCCAGGAGTTCATTAGGCTGCAGCTCAGGAGAGCGGCCGCGGGGAGCTGCGCCGAAGCCAAGTGTTGCCAGGAGGCTGAGCTGCAGGTCCGGTGGGGAGCGCCGCTGTTGATGTCCACGGCATGTTTGCTAACAGCCTGATTCCATCAAGTGGTGTAAAAGCAGCGCAGCCAAGTGCGAGGGCTGACCCTTGGCCCTTTTCCTATTTTTAACAACACAGCGCATCAGTCAAAGGTACAGTTGAGTCGAGCACTTGTGGAGTGCAAATGATGCTAATATTCATGCAGCTGTACATTTGGGAGAGAGAGAAAAGAAAAAAAAATAACGAGACATGCAAAGCAAAAGAGCACAAGACTCCATCTGACTATCTGTGGTTACTTTCGCTCATATGCCCTTTATCTTGAGGGCGAAGATCTAAAATGCACTCTCAGTTTTCATCTCCATACTCCCACAACCCTTGTAAATGCATCTGAGGAGCCGAATACTACAAAATATTTAATACTCTTGAAGAGACATGAAAAACGAAGCTTAAGGCGGTTTCGGTGGACATTCGAGAGAAAAAAGAAAATATGCAGAGAATTTAACAAATCCAAACCAAAAAAAAAGTGTTAAAAGCTATTCTATTAAAGAGTCTAGTGAAAATGTTCTTTCTTCCCAATCTATGTTTCACGACAATAATAATAATAAAAAAACAATCCTGAGAATAGTTGTGATTCATAAGAGGTGGGGATTGCACAGACACTACCCATATTTCATCATTTATTACACAGCAAAAAAAAAAAGAAAAAAAAAGACTCAAGCAGGCAAAATAACGACCGGCAGAAGACACGCCAAGAGTGCTGGGCTCCATTCCAAACAGGCATTTAACATTTTACCTTTATTTCATACAGGCCTATACGTAAAACAGGGAGTTAAAGTGTTTCCTCGCTGCGGGGTCCTTCACGTTGACTTGGCCATATGGACACTGGAGGAGAAAATAAAAGAAATAAATGTCATTTGTAGACTTCTAGGGCTTTATTTACAAATAGAATGAGACATGAACAAAGAAAAGTGTAAAGGAGGAACGCGTTAATCAAAAAAAAAAGATAAGGACAAGGTTGTGTCAAATCTGAACCACAGAGGAGATGATCTGAGTGTTGAGATGCAGGACGGGGCTGAAGAAGCCATCAGCAGAAGCAGGGGCAAAGGAGGGGTGATCATTTTCTGAAGCGTCTAAGGCTTTCTGTGCCAACGAGTAACATGTCGAAACGCCTGTAAGATCAGTTAGGAACCATTTTTCTAAAGATATTCAATCATCATTATCCTCCGCTTGTTCCAGAGTCGGGTCACGGGTGCAGCAGCTTGAGCAGGGAGACCTCTCTTACCCCAGCCACCTCTTCCAGCTGCTCTGGAAGGATTCCAAGGGGTTCCCAGTCGAGATTAAACACCCAGCACGCTCCATCAAAACTGCAGCATCGGATCGTCAAAGCTTCATGACAAAAATCGCGTCATTTTGTTACGAGTTTCAACTTTTCTGTCTCTTCGTGTCACAACCTGACAGCCGAACTTTTCACCCTCCCTGTGTGCTTACTTACTTTATTGTGTGATTGGTCAGATCACGGGGCTGTTTGTTTATCCTGAAAGTGTTCAGACCCTGCCTTTTGCTTCAACCCACTTTCAGAATCTGGCTGCTGTACCCGGAAGCACTTTTATAAAACATAGTCAAATGGCCAAAAATTTATGGATGGAGATAAAACAGACGTTGAGCACGGAGAAACCTGTCTACCAAAAACAGTGGAGCTTTAACCGGCATAGATTTGTGGACAAATAACATCGGGTATTTGATTTTTTTTGTTTCTCGCAGTGTAGACTCCAGCAGGAAGAAACTCCATGCAGTGATGTGTACCCACAGTGGGAGGGGCGTCCCTGGAGCTCAGCTCGGTGCGTTTCAGGGGCTATGAAAAGTGTGTGTGAAAATGAATGTCAAACAGCTACGTAATTACACGTTGTCAGCTGCCGATCGACCATACTGAACACTACAAGATCTCCAGCATGTCCTGGGTCGTCCTCTGGGTCTCCTCCCAGTCAGAAATGCCTGAAGCACCTCTCTAGGGAGGTGTCCAGGAGGCATCCTTACCAGATGCCCAAACCTCAACAGGCTCCTCTCGATGAGGAGGAGCAACGGCTCTACTCTGAGTCTCTCCTGGAGAACTGAACTTCTCATTCTCCCTCTAAAGTCCAGCTGCCCTGCAGAGAAAACTCATTACAGACGCCTTTATCCACAATCTTGTTCTTTCGGTCACTACCCAAGGCTTGTGGCCACAGGTGAGGGCAGGAACGTAGACTGATCGGGGAACAGAAAGTTTCACCTTACAGCTCAGCTCCCTCTTCCCTCACCCATGAACAAAACCTCTCCAGATACTTGAACTCCTCCACTTGAGGGAGAACCTCACCCCTCAAGCCAGAGAAAACAACCCACGCTTTTGCAACTGAGGACTCAGATTTTGAGGTGCTGATCCTCCAAAAACTGGCACAATGATGCCAACAGAACCGCATCATCTGCAAATAACAGTGATGAGGCCACAGAACCGGACCCTCTCCACCCCCTGGCTGCACCAAGAAATTCCGTCCTTAAAAGTTAGGTCGTATTCAGACCTGACAATTTGGTCCATTTTAAACGAACCAGAGTTCGTTTCCAGTGTTGGTCTGGACCTTTTGTGCAGGTGTGAATACACTCATGCAAACTCTGGTGCAGATCAAACAACCGGACCGAGACCTGCTTTTTGAGGTGGTCTCGGTCCGCTTCCAAACAAACTCTGGTGCGGTTCACTTCAGTTCACTTCTGGTGTGAATACAGACTGGACTCTAACCGAACCAACTGCATTAAACATGCGCCTTTTTGGACTTCACAGGCCACCGTTGCTGAGCTAAATAAACTGAAATCATACCTTTTTCGTCGTCTCCCATTAGCAGCTCTGATTCCAGCATGTAGTGGGTCTGAACACGCAGCGCACCTCGTCTCCTTTGGGTCGCGGGACACATTTATGTGACGTCGCTCCAAAATTAGAATATCATCACGAAACCACCATTAAATTAGCTGCTTTTGACATTTTAAATGCTGTTGCAGTTGTACTATCAGCATAAATGTGCGCATCAGAACCACAACATGCAGGATATCCTTGTTTTTTTCTGGGTCTGTGGCTCAGTCCCGCCCCCGTCCTTTTCTGTCCAATGGGACCAATGATCGTCACACTCGTGGCTTTGTTTACAAGTTATAGTTCATTTGCAAAAAAGCACAATGTGAATGCAAABCGCACCAAACAAAAAAAATAAAGTCCACTTTTGGTCCGGACCAAACAAGTGGACCAAAGGACTTTCCTGGTCTGAATACACCCTTAAGAACAGAATGAATCGATAATAGAATAATTTTACGTTTTTAAAATCTACAGTGAATGTTGATGCTAAATTAAGATGTCCTAGCACATAAAACAATAAAAGTATGCATTCATATCTTTGGGAAAAAATTTTTAAAATTGTTTCTTGGACATCAGCTGCATTATCAGTCAATGTACCTGGAAATTTTCCCCAAAAAGTTTTTTTTATATATTAAGCCATTTAATTCAGCATCTGTCTAAAGTCAAGACAATCTGACAAAAAKAAGTTTTTGTTTGCACCAATAAGGATCTTCTTCTTTTCATCAGAATGAATGAAAGCAGACTGAACCTCCCTGTATAATTCTGAATTCATCCAGCTGCATCTGACTTCTGTCAYATCATCAAWAAACACCTTAGTGTCACGAGAAGCCATGTACACCCACATCATCACYCTGCCTCCCTAAATGGGATATTTCATTCCTTGAAAACCTCATCATAGATTTTTACAAACTTTATTCAGGTAATTCTATTTTCATCCTCAAACAAAATCCGTTTCACATTTTAAAACTCGTGTTTTTGGTCAATTCTTGAGATGAAAACTTGACAAAACAAAGGAGAAACACTGGAACAAAGAGCAGACAAAAAAGATTGATAAAAAAAAGTGTGCATCAATGCAAAGGACGACACAAACCAATACCAAGAAGAAGGAAAAAAAAGACAAAAGAGCTTACATGTCTGCACCCGCTGCCGCAGCATTTCCCTCTCCGAAGGTGGGCATACTCTGTGAACACCTCGTACCCACTGGAAGGGTCGAYGTACATCTGCTGCTTCGCCTGAGCATAATGAAGAAATGATTATTTAATTAGCATGACAAACAAACAGGCGTGCCAGTGTGTGACCCCCTGCATACAAAACCGTTTACAGTGACCCAAAGGTGTGCGCAGTGTGTAAGCAAACTGAATAATAGTAGTTCTGAACGTATACGCRCAGACAGATTGCTTTGGGTCATTGAAAGAAGGGAATAAATGACCTTTATTCATAAAAACAGATGTAAGGCAGTCGAATTCTCATGATGTTGCTAATTAATTCCTTTTGTGTGTGATTCAGTAAGTGAGAATCTGCGACAATTAATCAACCGTTGTGGCTCTGTAATAACTTTTAGGATTAATTGTTCATCTCGGGAGCGCCACACACACACACACACACCAGTGTGTTGTAGGTGAAACACACTGAACTCCTCTGTCTTCCTTTAGGAAGTTAGAGAATGTCACCTCTCAGTCTGTTTCAAACTGAGGGTGCACTCGTTGGTGAGCTCTGACAGCTCACAAAGGCAAAAAGGCCTCGGGGCCTTTGGGTGACACGGCCTGTCATTTCACATGCCATGGCAGGGCCACACAGTGAAGCTGGCAGTGTGCCGGGCCCGCTCGCTGCTCTGCTGTTCTCCCACCCAGGCCCCACCACCTCTCCTCAGGTCGCAGCCAACTTGCCTCAACTTCACGCTCACTCAGATGCGCAATATTTACAACAGATAAGGCTCGGGGGCACGCAGACGACACCTTTTCACCACTGTCACCAGCACACCGCTCGCCAGCTCGGTGTGACGGAGGAGCGAGGAGGAGCTGGCGAATATGATGGATGTGGGGGGATGATACCAGGACTTTATCACAAAAACGCCACAGACGTGTGCTGAAACATTTCACCATTGGGCGATAATCTAGATAAGGGAACCCCAAGACCAGCTGGAGTCACACTGATTGTGTTGTTGCAACGCAGGCTTCTCCAGGGGAAACTTGTCCTGGTCTTGGCACTAATGAGGAGGCTTTTTTTGATTTATACCACCCACCCAAACGTGGTTGTAGACTAGACACAACCCCCCTCATGGTAACAACAGTCACAAAGAGCAGTGGTTTCCCCCCTGCAGGACGGTGCACCTTGAGCTGCCAGTGCTGCAAAAGCCAGACAGTAAGGTTAACGTGGCCTGCAGACTCCCCGGATCTTTATGGAAGAGGGGCAAAAATAGAAAGCCACAAGCCGCCCAGGTTTCTGTTTGTTGCACGTCAAGTAGGGAACATGAACTCGTGGAAGAAGGAGCTATGTTCAAATCAACCAAATCTCTATGTGTGGCGCTAAACTAGCAGAGGGACACGGTGGTGGCGTCATGCTGTGGGGTCACTTTTCTTCAGCAGGGTCAGATAAACTTGAGGAGTTGCTCAGGAAATGGATGGAGCTAAATGTTACAGAAAATAAGAACAGCGAATCCCCGATTTTTTGCGGGGATATCCTGTAATGCCGGGTTCAAAGCAACATCTATCCATCCTTTATCTGTACCCACTTCTTCCTTTCAGGGTCACGGGGGTCGCTGGTGCCCATATCCAGCAGTCACTGTGCGAGGGGCGGGGTACACCCTGGACATGTCGCAAGTCCATCACAGGGACACACATAGAGACAAACTCACTCACTCACTCACACCTAGGGACAATTTAGATCAGTCATGGGCAATCCTGGTCCTGGAGGGCCACAGCCCTGCATGTTTTACTTGTTTCTCTGCTCCAACACACCTGATATGAATGAATAGATGATTGTCAGGCTTCTGCAGTACGGAGGACCAAAACTGACATAATTAGAAATAAAAGCAGAATTATTTGAACCACTAAATAAATACACTTAAAATGCACCAATTAAATTATAAAACATGAGGTAAAGTTCTCCTTTTTAATTTATTTGGTGCATTTTAAATGTATTTATTTATTTCAAGGTAAATTTTTCTATTTCTGCTTTTATTTCTAATTACCGGTATGTCAGTTTCGGTCCTCCATACTGCAGAACTTGGAAGAGGTAGTTCAGTGACTGAATCAGGTGTGTTGGAGCAGGGAAACATGTAAAACATGTAGGGCTGCGGCCCTCGACAACCATGATTGCCCACTCCTGATTTTAATTTTGATTAAGCTAACAGTCGTGTTTTGGTCTGTGGGAGGAAGCCGGAGTACTCAGAGAGAACCCACACATGCATGGAGAGAACATGCAAACTCTACCCAAAAAGCTCCCCGGGCTGGGATTTGATTCGGCGACCTTCTTGCTGAGCGGCATCAGCTCTACCAACTCAGTCACCGAGCCGCTTCAAAGCAACATAACTGTGACAATTTTTGGCTCAATTTTTCCCTTTTTGGGATAATCGTGATGGCTCTAAAGATAATTTTATGAGATCTTCGTGCCGTGTGTGGTGTGTTAAGAGTGATCTAGTCAGCTTGGAAGGTGGTTGGGACTGCTCCAAACTCAAATCAGGGATAATCAACATGTTGGATAGTCCTGGCCCAACATCCCAGTGTGTGTGGTGTTCACCTGAGAACAAACAAGCTCACAGCCTGTTGAATGTGACATGTAGCCAATCAGAAAGCAAGGTAAGGTAAACACAGAGGGGAATACAAAACTCAAAAGATAAAAAAAATCTGCCACAGCACACCTGGATGTCTGGTGGATGTTAAAGTCCACAAAATACGCCCATTGCTTCTTCTGCAATGTTTTTTTAGTCCGAACTCACGTTTGATCTCAAGAGGTCTCGCAAGATTTCTAGTTTGCCCTCTGAACATTTGTGAATGAATTCTGAAAGTTTGTGTGTTGAATTTGGGTTGTACAGAGCACACTGTAGGACCAAACCTGTTATATCCATGATTTTTTTATCAAGCGTGGGGTCTCTGAGTCTTTAAAATCCACTGACAATTTTAAAATCTTGCCGTGTGAACACAGCATTATGAACTGTGAAAAAACACAAATACTGGATGTGGTCCAGTCAAAGGCCTACAGCATGTTTAGGGTGGTATCTTAATGTGGTAGGAACCAAACAAAAACACTTGAGAGCTACACACCACATATACAGTAAACTGTAGGGCAGGGTATGCAACACCTACGGAACTGTACGGGTGTTTTGTTTTTGTTTTTTTAAATGTATTTATGCTAATACTTATGTTATATAATTAGTAAATTATGTAATTTACCTTGAAAACTCATGAAAAAGCACAAAGGGGAAAAATTGAGATTCTTTACTGTTCTGTCTGGTTGCTGCAGTATCACAGGGATTACCTGAAACTTCAGGCAGTTAAATCTCATGAAAAATCCACAACAGATCGAGTCCACAATCTTTGCGAGGGTTCACTGTATTTGTAAGCATTTCACTGCAGTGACCGCGGACGAGGTCACGACATTTTAACTGGCTGACAGGGTTCTGGTCTCAGCCAGTTCTTGTGCCATGTTTACTGGAAGATGACGCCAATGTTTTGACTCCCGCTCTGATAAAACTCCTTCCACCGAGAGCTTTGAGCTCAACAGATATCTCGTGCCTTCAGTCTGAAGATAACCAGCTCGGATGGTTGCAGAACGTCCCCTTAAAGGCTGTTTTTTTGTAATAAAAGAGAGAGAATTACAAGTTCCAGTCCCACTTTATTTCCTTTCCTAGAAAAGCATTTCATTCTTTTAACGACACTAAACTCAGGAAAATTTTAGAAGAGGGCTGCACAAAACTTCACCTTCCAGCAGGACAACGGCCCGAAATATCTGGTCAGAAGTAAAAGTTCAGACCTACATCCAAATGAAAATCTACTTAACTGTATTTGTTTTGGTGTTGTAGGATATTCTCATATCACCATATTCAGTAATATCATCATATATTTGTTATATCCCAGTGACTCATTCAACTAGTATTCTTAAATATTTAATTGAGCATAGTTAAATAAAAACACCAGTGTAGAACTACATGAGTTTTTAGAAAGCTGTTCAATAATTCTCCAGTAATTATGCTTGAATTAAATATACTTTCTTGAGCTCCATGTCCCAGGTACGACTTCCTGTTTTCTATTTCTGTAAACATCTGTTAACTTCAAATCTCTTAATTTAAACACAGACATGTTTGATATCCATTTCTACATCAACCAAACACAGTAAAACCACAAGAAGTTGGACCAGAAACTAAACAAATTAGACAAAATGGCAACAACATAATTCTGTAAATATGTTTAATTAATGTTGTATGTAAATATATGTATATAAAAAGAAAAAAAGAAAATAAATTGTATA